AAAAGGAACGATGAAACTCTCTCTCTCTCTCTCGCGGAGCTTCTGCTCTGGAATGACCGAGAAAGAAGAAGGAAGAGTTAAAAATATCAGATGAAGCTAAGGGCAGTTTGGTAATTTCGCACGGCCAGCAAAAAAGAAAATTTTAACTCTGCTTTTGGTCTCTTCCAGATTCGAACTTGGGACCTTATATATGAAAGGTTGCTCAGCTGCCACTAGACCAAGTCTCTAACTTGTTATATTTATCCCAAAAATTAATATAAACACACTTTAAGTAAGTTATCCTATATATATTTATTTATTTAGTTTAAATTTTTGTTGGGGTCATTACAGTAAATATCTAAATTTAAGAATAAATGGTTTTGATAATAATTAAAGACAACTATTGGATTTGGTTTTAGCCTTTGGATTGGGTTTGGAAGTGAATTGGGTCACCTGAGCTCAATTGTGGAAAAAAATGGATTTTTAGTGCAGTAGTACATTATGTTGCTCCATAACTCTCAGAATCAGTCTTTTAAAAAATGAAAAAATAGAGGAAAACACTATAAAATAGAGGAAGGGTGATAAAGAAAGTAGTTGCTCTACTAGGGCATAAAATTTTAGGTATTTTAGAGGTGATTGAAGCTTGATTTCACCTAGGTATGCCTTATTTATCTCTTCTTCTCTCTACATGTTTTGGAAGTGAGATTTAAGGTTGATTTTCAAACCTAAGGCTATGGGTCCGAACCCATTGGTCTAAATGAGACTAATGGGAGTTGTTTGAGTTATCTAAACCTAAATATAGTGGTTTTATGCGTCCATGAGAGTAGGCTTTCAATTATAGATGAATTTGTACATTAAAATGCCATTAGTTATAAACACCCTAGTTGTGTTTTGAAAGCATAAATGAGTGAGTTTGTATTTTGGTGTCTAACTTCTGGTTGATAAATAATTTGAATATGAAACTAATGTCATTAGTTAGACCTCTGAGAAAAACTTTCTATAGACACCTAAATCACCTTAATCAGATATCAGACGAAGAATTGGGGTTCATCAAAAGTTCAACTAGAAAATTTGCCATGATAGTTATTCTACAGTTTATGCAGTAGCATAAAATTTATGCTGCAGCATATTGTGCTAGAATTAGTTTTTGCCCTTTTGATCTCAATTTGATGTTGTCTTACCTTGTATAATATCCATGCTTTCATAGATAGGTTTTTCTCTAATTTTAGTTTATGAAATGATTTTATAGCATTTTAAGTTTTGAAAACTTAGGATCCTATTTATGTAAATTTTACAAACTTGGTAATTCATTTGGATTAGTTTTGTGATTACCTTGATTTTTAGAGTTTAATTATGGATTAGCGAAGGAGACCTTACACAGCACCTTCATCCAAATTGTTGAGCCAATCCATAGCTTTCCCTTACAAAGAGTAAGGGAAGAATTAAAGACAGATGACATCTTGAGGAACTCCATTATGCTTGAATGAGTCACAAATATCAATTAAGTTAACCAAATGTCTATTAGGGTCCTTATCCTAACTTTTTATAAATTGCCCATTCATCTTAATCATCTTAAGCATGATCTATTTAATCTCATAGTTGTTCACTTAGAAGTCAGGAACTTTAATCCCAGACCGATATCCTCTAGCTTGACTATCTAAGAAATCAATGACACACAATCGATATTCTCATCCTCAACCATATCTTCTTTTGTAACCATTTCACTAGTTAGAGGCTGAGTTTGAGGTGATGTAGCTTGCAAGAGTTCTTTGAGACTCATTGTTCTCATAGATGTCTTTTTTGACTTATCCTTTCATAGAATGCAAAATAGTTCTACAAGAACAAAGAAAAAGATCAAGGATTTAAACAAGATAAAAAGAAAAAAATAATAAAATAAATGCTTAAGCAAGTCCTTTAATTCTAATCAGTAATTGCCTAGATTCCCAAGCAACAATGCTAAAAACTTGATGCATACAAAAATGTTTCACCGCAAGTGTATAGGTCAACATGCAATATATTAGTGCATCAAGGACAATCCCATAAGGAATCAAGCAAAATAGTGACTAGCGATAAAATTCCTAATTTTGTTTAAGTCAAGCAAAACAAATTGAAATTGACTGACTAACTAAAATTAAAATTGAACTCAATAAAAAAGCAATGAAATTCTTAAATTCAACAACCACTTGAGTAAAAAGTAACCTAAAGTCATAAATCCCTTATTAACATTCTTAGACTCTATTTTAACCCAATTAATTAATTTCGAAGATAATTTTGTTAATCAAGAGTTTTAATAGCTATTAGGGTCTTTCGATCCACTAATAATCCTCTCTTAAATTAATTATGTTATGTCTAACACAATTATCCAAGAGGAAAACTCAAACTAAGAATACTCCACAATAATTATACAGGGCTAATTAGATAAAATCTAATCTCAAATTGCTCAATCCAGTGATCCAATTAAGATTCTCCTTTGTCAAGGAAAAATTCCAAAACTTAAAATCACATTTAATAGTGGCCAAGCATCAAAATTGAACAGCTAAAATTAACATTAAACTTAACTGATGGGTAAAAACAAGTCTAATCCATCAATAGATTCATCATTTCTATAGGTCGATTGACATTCAGCCACACATACTTCTAGAAAAAAGCAAAAGGCAACAAATAATACATTACAATGAAGAAGAAAAGGAGAAGAAAAGCTTAATTGAAGTGATTTTGGTTGAAAATCACTAATCTATCATGAAACCCAAGCTTGTCCACCTCATCCATGGCCTTTTTCTCTCTTACTTAGTAAATTTCTAGCTGCTGGAGTCGAGCAAAGTTAAAGAATGATGAGCCAAAATATTCAAAACTCTAAAAATATCATTTTTTTTGTGAAGCTATGCATTTCATTATTTGAAGCTTGCGTTGCGGCATAATTAGGTTATGTTATGGTGTAAACCACTTTGTCACTGTGACTAAGCATACGCGGTAGCGTATTTCAGAGATGCTATAGCGTAAGTCTTTCCTGTTCTTCATTTTCAATCTTTACTTATATATAGCAATTTGACTCTTAATTTGGATCACCCTACATATAATATAACATTATTAATGCAATTTTAGCTTAAGTAATCCATTCATTTCAACAAGGTACTACCAATTCTCCCTTCTCAAGTTCAAAAGCACTTTTCTTTCCTTTTTCTCAAATAATAGTCTCATTTTCTCTCAAAAATACTTAGATAAGACTTCAAATTGAACCCCAAAACCTAACAACACATGAAAATATTTGGAGTCATTGACATAATGATAGTGTGATATTCTCAAGCAAGGGTTCTGGACTTATGGGGCTAAGGGCTAAACCTTTGTCTTTAGTTTCATAGTTGGGTCCTAAGATTGGTCATAAATTACTGTATTGATTTGTTCCCTACTTCTCAAACTCCACTACTGATTAAACTAAAACTGGTTGAAGGAGCCAGTATATCTGGATCAAATGAGGTTGTGTCCACTTCATTCAAAACTGACCATGGAAATTACATGCTCGTACTCTTAAAGGTATTGAGTTATTAAAAAGTATGGTAAAATTATTCATGAATTATCACCTTTTAGCTAGGCAGTGTTTTCTTCGTAAAAGTTTATGAAAAATATAACTGTTGATCCATTACTTTTAGCGTGTTTTGATATTAGTTCATATACTTTTTTTTTCATTGCTCCTAGTTCTTTAAGTTTCATCTATAAGCTCAAGCACATTGAAAAAAATATGTATGATAACGTCCTCTTCACTTTTCTTAACAAAAGATCATTTAGCAGCTCAGAAAGATCTGCATACCATGGGAATTTTTCTGATGCTCTGGCCTAACAAGAATAGAGGAGAAAGAAGAATTTGATAAACCTAGTAAAGACTTGCAGTGGCAACAAATTGAACCCCTCCACACACATGCGCTGGCAACATACACAAGGAGGAAGGACGAGGAAGAATGGAGGAGAGGGACATTTTTGGAAGCGCTCTCTCCTTCTCTATTTGCAACAATTAGGAAAATGAGAAGGAATGGAAAAAATCTGCTTGTTGCTTTATTATTGTTTTTAAAAGAGGGGCAGTTTGATAATTTCCTAATATTACAGCAAAATTTAAAATTCCTCCTTGACATTGTGAGGATTCGTACTCTAAACTTACAACAAGTATAATTTCCATAAAGCCGCCATTTCACCATGTTACATCTATTCCAAAATTTAAAAAAAAATAATCAAAATGTTATTGTTAATTTTAATATTATCCTTATTTTTCAGGGTTATTACACTTCCGGATCAAACTTGCATCTTTTTCTTTTTTTCAAACAATTTCGATAACCTTAACAAACATTGTAGCAGTTTGACTTTTCTGATAGCAGTTTGTATAGCTGCTATAATTTACCTCACTATGATGCATTTAGTAGCTGCCAGCGTACCTTGTAGGTGTAGCTATTAAAACTACTAGTGAATGACCCAAATAACCACCACCTAGAGGCCTCTATTTTCGTATTGTCAACTCTTTTCTTTATTACTATTTTCTATTCCAACCTCAGTAAATGGTTAAACCATTGACTTCAACCTTGCACATCGTGATTCACTATTATTGTTGAGATTAGTTGATTGTATTTTTCAGTTAGTTCTTTTAAAGTATCGTTTTGTTATATGCTAGACGTCGTTCAGCCTTGTTCTATTTTGTATAAATAGGCTTGTACAGACCTGTTTCATTTTAATGCAAAGTATTATTCAGATAATGAACATACATTCACAGTGTGGTATGAGCATGGCAATTTTATCGCTTACCACTCAACATGGTATCAAGAGCTTGGTTGAGCATTAAGCCAGAATATGGGTTTCTTATCCAGTTCAAGATTATGACTAGAAAGTGGGCCGCATAACCAAGAAGCCTGCCTATAATTCAAGAACCCAGAACGCAGCGTTCCTTCCCTGTGCTTAGACCAGCTTCCACACGTGCAACACTTCTGTGATCAGAATCTCAGACCTGCTTCCACACGCATCTGTTGAAATGATAGGTTTATCCAATTCCAAATCTCTGTTTCGGCGTGCACCCTCTTCATAACCCCAAACACTTCATTGCTCCAGACGCGATCCCCAACCGAAATTGCTCTCTTCATTTTTTTCCCTTGATCATAAGCCCTGGTTTAACCTTCAAGATCCTCCTTCTTGCATCTCGTCCTAACCTTTATATCTCCCTCTGATATTCTCCCACCAAATACTCATAATGGATGGCAATGAGAAGATTCTGACAGTAAAAAATCCAACAGCCTCTATCGACTTCACCCCATCAGCTCTATCTACATCCATCTGATACACAGGTAACTTCTCTGGTCCCTCACGTCCTTATCGGCACCGAAAACTATACTATTTGGAGTCGATCGATACGGATTGCTTTGCTTGGGAAGCATAAGCTTGGCTTCATAGAAGGATCCTGCACCAAGAACTCTCAAGATCTATCTCTCCGTGAGCAATGGGAATGCTGTAATGCTGTGGTCTTGTCATGGCTTCTCAACTCTCTGTCGAAAGAACTCGCTAGTGGGATGGCCTATGCTCAGAGTGCACACCACGTTTGGATCGATCTTAAGGAAAGATTGAACAAAGTAACTGGTTCCCAAATCTTTGCCATACATCGAGAACTAAACTCACATGTTCAAGGGTCCTTGAGCGTCTCTAGCTATTACATAAAATTGAAAGAACTATGGGAAGAGCAGAATGCGTTAGTCACCATCCCCACTTGTCAGTGTGCAGTATCAAAAATATACTCGGATATAATGCAACAGCAATGACTTCTCCAGTTTCTTATGGGTCTTAGCGAGTCCTATAGTCAAGCCAGGAGTTAAATTCTCCTTATAACTCCCCTTCCTACTATGAATCAAGCATACAACATGATAATAGAGGATGAGGCTCAACGTTCAATTGCTGGATTCACTAAATCCTCACCTATAGAAGGAAGTGCTATGGCAGTAGGTCGGGGACAAGGACGTGGTAGAGGCCGTGGACGCACAAATTCATCAATTGAATGTGCTCACTATCACAAATGGGGACATACCAAAGAAAATTGCTATGAGATTGTAGGGTATCCTGAGAACTACAGAGGAAATAAGAACAAACACAATCCAGAGCCAAAAGCAGGACAGAGTAAAACTGAGGCTGCCAATGGAGTAGAAGACGTAAGTCAAACTGTTGCACCTACATTCACTCAAGAACAATACGAGCAAATCCATCCATTGTTGAAGAAGGATGGTCAATCAACGGTCCATGCCCTCACTGGTACAGGTTTGCATAGTTCTTCATATTTTAAACATAAAACTAGTTGGATACTTGACTCGGGTGCTACCACTCACATGGTGAGTGATTTGCAATGTCTGGATTTTTATGAGAAATATACTGGCCCTGTCAAAACAATTAAGATTCCAAATGGACAAAGAGTACCCATAACACATATAGGAGATGTTCATCTTTCAAATGGAATATCTTTAAAAAATGTTTTATATGCACCTGAACTTTGTTTTAATCTAATATCCATTACTAGACTTACTAAAGAAGAACACTGCATGGTTGCTTTTTTTCCTAACCTATGCGTTGTGTAGGACCTTCGGGGTGGCAAGATGAAAGCGATTGGTAAAATTGTGGAAAGTTTATACATTTTGAGTGTTAGTAACCATTTCATTAATACTGCTAGAAATTCTGATGTAGTAAAAGAATCTAGTGAACTTTGGTTGTGGCATTGTAGACTAGGCCACCTTTCATTTCCTGTAATGAGGCACTTACCTCCTTTAAAGAATAATGTCCACTTGAATATTGAAAATAAAGTTTGTGAGACTTGTATACAGTCCAAACAAACTAAGATTCCCTTTTCCTCAAGTTCTATAAAATCCACATTTTGTTTTGAATTATTGCATATGGATGTGTGGGGACCTTATAGGGTACCTACACACCACGGTCATTGATACTTTCTCACTATTGTGGATGATTTTTCTCGTGCTACTTGGGTATTTTTATTGCGTGATAAAACAGAAACTGTGGGTAACATTCAAAATTTTCTTGCCTATATTCTAAATCAATTTGATGTTCATGTTAAAAGAATTAGAACTGATAATGGGAAAGAATTTTTGAATAATGCATTAAGGACTATACTTGAGGGGAAGGGAATCATACATGAGACCACTTGTCCATATACTCCTGAGCAGAATGGGGTAGCTGAACACAAGCATAGAAGCTTGATACAAGTCTCTAGGTGTCTTATATCCCAATCTGCTCTGCCTATTCAATATTGGGGTGAGTGTGTTAAAATGGCAGCTTACTTGATAAACTGCACACTGTCTAGAGTTTTACAGTTCAAAACCCCATATGAGGTTGTTTATAAAGAGCCGCCTAACTTCAATAATTTGAGAGTTTTTGGTTTACTTGCATTTGCCACAGATTTAAATGTCACAGATAAATTTTAGTCAAGGTCAATTCCTTGTATTTTCTTAAGTTACCCTAATAATCAAAAGGGATTTATGTTGCTTGATTTAAAAACAAAAAGGATCTTTATTAGCAGACATGTTAAATTCATTGAGAATAAATTCCCTATAAAGATATTGTTGTGGATAGTCAGGCTAACAATCTTAAGTCCTTGATGATACATTCTGGTATGAACCTGAGCAAATTAGATTTGGTAACAAAAGCAGTGATTCTATTAATGCTAAGCTTGTTGAGAGCAACAGGCCTAACATAAATGAATTGGGAGAGCCACATGAGATAGGGAATGATGACATAACTGAACCTAATAAACAGGATCAGCATAGAATCAGACCTGTAAGGGAAAGGAAACAACCTATTTGGATTAAGGATTATGTTTGTTCTGCATGTGACACATACACCATTAAATATCCACTACAATTGCAAGTATCCTATGAGTCTGTATCTACTTTACATCAATGTTATCTCTTCTCTATTGATTCTGATATAGAACCTCGAAGTTATGAAGAGGCTGTTAAGGATAAAAATTGGATAGAGGCAATGAATAATGAACTTCAAGCCTTAGAAGACAATAAGACCTGGAAAATTGTAGATCTACCAAAGGGAAAGAGGCCTATAGGTTGTAAATGGGTGTATAAAATCAAACATAAGGCAGATGGAAGTGTTGAGAGATACAAGGCTAGGTTGGTAGCTAAGGGTTACAGTCAAAGGGAGGGGGTTGATTACCAAGAAACCTTTTCCCCCATTGTGAAAATGGTTACTGTTAGATTAGTTTTGTCCTTAGCCGCCCAACAAAACTGGATGTTACACCAAATGGATGTCTACAATGCCTTCTTACAAGGAGATTTAAATGAGGAAGTCTTCATGACCATTACTCAAGGTCTTGTTAGAAAGGGGGAGAGTAAGAATAAAGCATGCAAACTTAATAAATCATTATATGGCTTAAAACAAACTTCCCGACAGTGGAACCATAAGCTAACGCAAGCATTAAAGGAAGGGGTTTTAATCAAAGTATGCATGATTATTCTTTATTTGTTAAAATTTTCAAGATAGTGTGGTTTTAATTCTTGTTTATGTGGATGACTTATTGATTACTGGTAGTTCTGAATATGGAATTAAACAAATAAAGGAATTTCTGCATTGCAAGTTTAAAATCAAAGAACTTGGTTTATTAAAATATTTTTTGGGAATTGAAGTGGCAAGGTCCAAAAAGGGTATTGTCATAAATCAAAGGAAATATGTATTGGATCTGTTGTTTGAGACAGGGATGAGTGGATGTAAACCAATTTCAGTACCTATGGCGCAGAATTTGAGGCTTACAGCATATGAGGAAGGTAAAAATAAGAAAGAAGAGCTGTTAAAGGACCCCGGGGAGTATAGAAGACTCATTGGTAAGCTAATATATTTAACAATGACAAGGCTTGATATCTCTTTTTCTATGCAGCATTTCAACTAGTTTATGCAAGTGTCGACAAAGACACATATGGTAGCGGCTAAGAATGTGCTGAGATATTTAAAGCAAAACCCAGGTTTAGGAATACTGTTAAGTTCAAAGAATAGCTTAGAACTGAGATGCTTCTGTGACTCAGATTGGGCAGCATGCAACACTACTAGGAGGTCAGTATATGGTTATTTGTTAAAGCTTGGAGACTCCTTAATCTCCTGGAAGACAAAGAAGCAAGGTACGGTGTCCAAGTCATCAGCTGAAGCTGAGTACAGAGCCCTCAGTTCTGCTGTTTCTGAGATAATTTGGGTATTGGGTCTAATGAAAGATTTAGGGTTACATGATCTGACGCCTGTGAAAGTTCATTGTGACAGTAGGGCAGCTATTCACATAGCAAATAACCCTGTTTTTCATGAGAGGACCAAGCACATAGAGATAGATTGTCATTTTATCAAGGAAAAGTTACAACAAAAGTTGATTTCTCTTCATCATGTGAGTTCTACAGACCAAGAAGCAGACATATTGACTAAAGCATTAGGAAAAAGTTCTCATAATAGGTTCCTTAGCAAGTTTGGAACTATTGATTTATATAGTTCCAACTTGAGGGGGAGTATTGAGATTAGTTGATTGTATTTTTCAGTTAGTTCTTTTAAAGTGTCGTTTTGTTATATACTGGACGTCGTTCAGCCTTGTTCTATTTTGTATAAATAGGCTTGTACAGACCTGTTTCATTTTAATGCAAAGTATTATTCAGATAATGAATATGCATTCACAGTGTGGTATGAGCATGGCAATTTGTTGCTTACCACTCAACAATTATCACCATTCTGTAACTCTTCAAGCACCTCATCGGAGCTCGCTCGGAGTGTTAGCTTACGATCCCAGATTCAATCTAGATGCCGTCTCCTCTAAACTGACATAAATCATCAATTCACCACCATTAGAGACATGGGCCATTGCAGGCACATGAAGCGACCTTATATGGGTCCAATGCTTACCAAGCAACACGTGTTACCCTTAAAACCTACCCATCTTTAATTAAAGCCAATAATTTGGGTGGACCAAGCTTATTTAGGTTGGGTTCAATTCGAGTTGGGTTTATTCAGATCAAGTTTAAAGTATTCTACCTTTTATAAAAGGTCCATATAGCCAAGCCGACCCTAACAACTTATGGCTTCAAGCCTATTCAGGTCAGTTTGAATATCTAAAATTTTTAAAAAATACGTTTTTCTTTATTTTTTCAACCAAATTTAATTTTTAAGTAACTTTGTTAAACATAAAATAATATTTTGACTTTAAAAGAATAAAAGAAAAAACAATAACTTATCAACTTTGTATTTAAGTAACTTTATTATTGTTTTATTATATTACGTATAATTTATTCATAAATGTTTCATTTACTTGTAAATTAATATTTTAGTTATTTAAATATTGCTCTTATCATGGTCATGTATAAATATTTTATGTATTTTAACTAAATTATATTATTTTAATTATGATCACATTAACCTCAATTCAATTATAATTAGACCACTAACTTAAAATTATTATTGTCCCAATTAGTTCAAAATTTTTAATAACTTTTGGATAAATTATATTTTTCATTTTTAATCATCATTATATTATATAAAAAAATCATTAAATTATGAGTAAAATACTATGTTTTTTCTGAAATTATTTTTTCATTTAACTTTTTATATAGTTTAACCCCTACATACAAGGTGTATTTACTCTAATTTATTTTTAATTTTTAATCAAGTCTAGCATGGACAATAATCAAATAATTATTCAAAAATATTGTTATATATATTATATTTATTTAATAGTAGAGCTAAGAATTCATACATGTCCAAAATTTATTTTTAAAGGTATTTTAACTTTAATTTTTACTTTAAAATTAATTATCTTATTTTATAAAAAATAAAAAAAATATATTTTTTAGATACTCGAATGATATACAAGATTCAAAACTTAATAAAAAATAAGTGAGTCTTAAAGTATAAAAATTAATATTAAAATATATTTTAAATATTATTTTAAGATATTTTATTGATTAAAAATAATAAAAACAAAAATATAAATATTTTTAATTTTTTTAAAAAATAACTGCAATTATGCACTCAAATATATGATATTTTAGTATAAAATGATATAAAACTTAAATAATTAATTAATATTTAGGGAAAATATAATCTTTGGTCCCTACAGTTTCATCTGGTTTTGCTTTTAATCCCTGAAATTTTTTTTTTCAATGTTTTCAATCTCTATAAAGACTAAAATCACTGAAAAAATAGAAATTGTAGAGACCTAAAAAATAAAGATCACCTAATCTTTTTGAAACTATAGAGATTGAAAATACAAAAAAAAACTATAAGGACTAAAAATAAAACCCAATGAAATTATAAGAACCAAATATTGTATTTTTCCTAATACTTATTATATTTTATAAATAAGTCTGAATATTAAAAAATATTATTTTTTGATGGCTCAGCCCAAAATTTTTTAAATAAGCTCAAGCTAGCCTGTCGAGCTTAATTCAAATTATCTGCTCTATCTTTAATCCCCACAATTATGCGTGTCAGATGGACTCGTACGTTCTTGGGCTTTCATTGTTGGGTTCCTTAATCACTTCTCAAGTCCTCGAATTGTTTGGTCCTAACTTCGCAAACTCCGCCAGTAAAAAATTGGGTAAATAAGCCGATATAACTGGATCAAACGAGGCTGTGTCCAACCCGTTCAAAACTGACCTAGGGAAATTACATGCTCGATCACTCTTGAAGGTACTTAATTATTAACAAGTACAACTGTTAGTTCCCATATTTTTTATGTTTTTTTTTGTATTAATTAGTTTTTATGCTTTTTTCATTACTTCTAATTCTTTAAAGTTTCATCCATCCACAATGTTAGTTTTTACACTTTTAAATATGATCATACTTCTTTTGTATTAGTTTTTATACTTTCTTCATTACTTTTAATTTTTTAAAGTTTCATTTGTCTATAATGTTAGTTCTTGCAGTTTTACATATGGTCATACAAACTTAATGATGGTTGACGTGTACATAAACTCTATTAAGTTTTGTTGTGCTAACAGGTTAAAATATTATGACTTCGAAAAAAAAAATCACAAGCGGTAAATAAATCAAAAGGGGATTGAATCAGAATTATGATAATGTGGGAACAGATGTTTTCTGTGAGAATATTGGACATAATATCTATTTTTAGTTATTTGCAATGGCTTTGCAGTTTTTTTAGTGAGAATTATGCAAATTAACTAATTAATCAATTAGAAAAATCAAATAATGTCATCTAATTAAATACATATCCTTATTTGACGAAAAATATCAAATACATGTCTTTAGGAAAACATTCTGGGACACATGCATTCTCTTGAATTTTCCTTATCTTTCACCTTTTTCATTAGTCTTGACTCTCGAGTCAACACAAAATTTTAAAAGAGAAGGCAACCCTGGGTTGGAATTTTCACTCAGGCCATCCAACAAATTGGAGTTCCGGGACCAGTAATGTGTGGAACTACTCGCAATAGTGAATGCTCAATTTGCATGCAAACAAGTGAAATAATTTGAAATGTAAAATGACATTACAAAGATTCCCATTTTTATAGGACATTTTTTGGCCTCATTATGATATTGAACACTCGTTTGCCATCTAAGAATTTTATTTTTTAGAGGAAAAAAAACGGAGCCTAGGGGTTTGAGAGGCAGGAAAAAAATTAATTAATTTTTGGGAGTTTTCATATATAATTAATTAACAAATATGTCTATCTTTAAACAACCAATTTATAAATACTTGTTAATCACGGTCATTAATATTTTTGAATGAAGTTAGTTTCATTTTAAAAATAATCATTAAGGTGTTAAATCAAGAGTGACAGATGATGACAATTTCCACACAACATTATATGTTCCTCTAATTTTATTTATAAGTCACTTCTAATATTATGATTAAGAAAATTTTAAAATATATTAGTTCTGTCTAAAAAATTAAATAATTTTTTAAACTTTACTTCTATTAAATATACATATTTTAATATAATATATTTTAATATAAAAGAAAATATTTATAATAAAAATTTAGTCATATGACTTATAAATAGAACAAAGAAATCATTTTTTCTGCGTTATAAATAAGACCAAGGAGAGCATTCATCACATTTACGAGAAAAGTAATTTGGATCAATACAGATTGCTTTAGAGCTGTCTCAGATAGTTACAGGACAAGAAATCAAAATGAACTGATGGGCTTGTTTTGCGAATCTTTGAGGATGATATCAATGTAACTCTCTCCCCGTAGGTATTCCAGTAATTATAATATATTATTAATCACTAATGGGAGGGTTGAAATCCTCTTCACGTAGTCATGTGTTAATTACCGATAATTACAAAATGGAGTCATAAGTGAAACAAATTTGATAGCTCTTAATCAAGGCTGTTATTTTCTTATGAATGCACTTAAAAACCTAGTGAATCCATTTAGGCACGATAAATGCATAAATTTAAACTGATATATAACACTGTATATTAGGTAGTTGTAGCGAAAAGTTCAAAATTGTTATTTTCTTGTGGCCGGTTATTTTTTGTACAAATTATTTTCATCATTTGGGATTTTTTTTTTGTAAGGTATATTCCTCGAAAAAAAAAAAGCAAGATGGTTTTAAATGGATGCTGGATGCTCACCGTTCAAGTATCTATCATATCTATCCCTAGCTTTTCAATGCTATATGCTTCTTTCTAAAACAAAATGGAGGGGAAGGTAGGAAATCCCCTACTAACCCTTCACTATAAATCCTTCCATTATTCCCCTCCTCTAGCAATATTCAACCATACAGGCTTTAAAAGTCATCCAGATCAGCTAATTAGATAAATCAAATTTCTTTTTTTTTTTTTAAGATAAAGGTGCATTTTTGCCCTTGAAGTATTTTTCAAAGAGCACTCAGTACTCTAAACAATATATTGGTCTGAATAATTTTTCTCTTAAAGTAATTAAAACATATCAATTTTACACTCGCCGTCAAATTCCCAAAGTTAACTGTTAAAAAATGTTAATTGGGATTCTAATGTTGACCATTAGAGATTTTAATGGCAAAAGGAAAACCTAAAACTGCTATGTTTTAATTACTTTAAGAGCAAAATTGCTCTGGCCAACTGCTTAAGGTGTTGGGTGTTCTTCAAAAAATACTTTAAAAATAAAAATATACTTGTACCATTTTTTAATTATTTGTAATACTAATTGTGATATTTTAGTTATAGTTAAAACTACAATATACACCTTGTAATTATATTATAGCCAGATGTTTAAATTTTATTTTAAAAAAAAACAGAAATTGAAGATAAATAATAAAGTGAAAAAAGATAATATTTCTACTCTACCAATAGGCACCCCTCCTTCATATATATATATATATATATATATGGTCCTTATTACTTATTCATCCATTCAATTTTAATTTCTATTTCGATAACGTGGCCTTTCACAGAAGCTGTAACCCTAATTATTTTCTGGTGGAAGTAGCTCCGAACTTTTATGAGAAAGAAAATATAGCAAAATATAAGCACAACATTTGACTGGTAGTTTAGTGGTAACCCAAAGCTACGCAAACCTCCCTATAAATAAAACCACCTCGAGCTCCTCCTTCACTTATCTCTATTCCTACTTCTCCATTGTGTTTTCCTACCATTCTTCAACCATGCAAGCTCTTTCACTCTGCTTGGCTCTCTTTTTCCTTCTTTCAACTTCTTCCATCGGTTCTGCCATTAAAGGTTTCAGCATCGACCTCATTCATCGCGACTCACCATTATCACCCTTCTACAACTCCTCCATGACCCACTCAGATCGAGTTCAAAACGCTGCATTGCGCTCCATATCTCGAGCTAATCGCTTTCGCCAGTCTTCTGTGGCTGAAACAAGTGAGTTAGTAGAAACTGATATAATCCCAAATGGAGTAAACTACCTCATGAAGATCTTCGTTGGTACTCCACCTGTAGAGAGATTGGCAGCTGCAGACACAGGAAGCGACCTTATTTGGTTCCAATGCTCACCTTGTCCCCGGTGCTACACTCAAAATGCAACGCTCTTTGATCCAAAAAATTCTTCCACTTATATGTCTCTGTCATGTAGCTCAGACCCTTGTAAAGTTCTGCCTCAATTCACTGTGCAAGGCCAAGTGTATCCTAAATGTGGAACATCGAATGAGTGTACGTATTTTTATTTTTATGGGGATAGTTCATACACAATGGGAGAACTGGGCACAGAATCAGTTAGTTTTGGAGCAAGTGATGGCGGCCAAGCTGTTTCGTTTCCTAAGACGGTGTTTGGATGTGGACACAACAACAATGGAACTTTTAACGAGTACGTCGCAGGGCTTGTTGGGCTTGGTCAAGGGGTTTTGTCGTTAGTTTCGCAAATGGGTAACGTAGGTCGCAAATTCTCGTACTGTCTGCCTCCTAATATCAGTCGAAATACCACAACTAAACTAAGATTTGGGGAAGAGGCCACCATATCAGGAAATGGGTTGTCATCCACTCCCTTGATCACCAAACTTGGTTCCTTGTCGTCGTTTTACTTCCTCAACCTTGAAGGTATTTTATTTTACTAAGATTGTTCACTTGTTTCATTTACAAGTTTAAAGGATATATACGTGTATGATTAAATGATGTAGTGACGTTATAAATGGCTCTTCATTTCATTCTTGTCTACAGGTATCACCGTTGGTCAACAAAAAGTGCCTCTGACAGGTCAAATCGACGGAAACATAGTCATTGATTCTGGGACGACATTGACAATGCTTCCATCAAGCTTTTATGACCAGGTTGAAGCTTTGGTGAAGCAAGCCATTGGATCCGACCAATTCATAGTGCAAATCAATCCGTTCAAATTGTGTTACACAAATGCTAACTCCATCAAGAATTTCCCAGAAGTTGAGGTTCATTTTACGGGATCCAACCTTTCCTTAAAACCTCAGAACTTTGTCCTTTTCCGCGACGATATTATGTGCTTTGCCATTCTTCCCACTGATTCAAATGGAACGTCCATTTATGGAAACGTGGCCCAGGTTGATTTTGAAGTCGAGTATGATCTTGGTAAGAAAAAAGTTTCTTTCGCTCCTGTTGGCTGTGCTAATAAATAGTAAAGATTTGCTGAAGAGTACGTGAAATGTAGTCATATATTTAATGAATAACGTACTTTGGATGGTGTAGCTCAAGTACTTGTAAACCCTACAGTTTTACACAGCCTCGCACACATGCACATGTACACCGTTATTATGTATGTTTCGGCTTTTGGAATTATCAGAACGTATGTTTGTTTATGAATAAGCTTTTTTAAATATAAATCAATACTTCATAAAAAAACAACCATATATGTTGTATGTGTGTCAAAAGTGTGTGTGTGTCAAAGTCTCACATTGACTAAAGGAAAGAATCTCCTAGTGTATATATATTAAGGAATGAAATAAGTTAGTAAAATGGGTTTGGAGGAGAAGTAGCCTCGCACACATGAGACAGGCAAAATAAATAATTATTTTTACCTTACCGGAGAAACTCAAATGAAACTCAAATTTTAGCTGTCTGAAGTTTGAAACCAAACCAAAAATGTTTACGTTTGTGTAACCTCTTCGTTTTCAGACAAGCTTTTAAACGATTTTATGACAGTGTAACCGAGCCTTTAATCCGGTGGTAACCTTCCATCATTCATGTCAACCTTCGGCCTATATATAACCATGCGTGCAGACATAGCGGTGTGGAATCTCTTGACAATTCAGTGTTCTCTCCTCCATCTGTTTTCGTTTGTGCATTTGGTCTCGGTTGTTCTGTTCCCTCTTTCCACCGAGGAGGTGCTTGTTTAATCCTGAAGAACTGCCGGTCGTCTGAGGGTGTGTCAGAATAGTTCTTAAGGACAGTGTCCTTTCAGGCACGACTCGAGCAATCCGTACCTCCCCATTAGCATTTCTGCCGGTGCCGCCAACAATATATGTTAAATGACAGCTAGTAGAATAGCTAATACTCGTACTTCACATGTTTTAATTAATGCGAATTAGCTGTGAAGTTAATTACATGTTGGTATTCAAGATATTTTATCTCATCGGTTATCTTTTTAACTACAAGAATAGTCCTAATACCAAAATGTCTAGATTTACAATGAAAGTAGGATTTTTGCTAAGATAAATACTCCATCCAGATCACAACATAAGATATCAATAACTACATCATGGATATAAACAAAAAAAAAGTTAAGTAAAACTTTAATTTCTTAAAAATTGTATATATATCTTTTCAATTATACTATCATTAAATACGTGTTATAAGTGTCTTAATAATAATTCCAATATTACATCATTTTTTCCAAAAAGATCAGAGTAATAAATTAAATGAAGAAAGGATATAATTATAAAAACTATCATAAAAATTACATAATGCCTTATCTTTTGGACAAAGCAAAGCTTATAGAATAATACCCCATATTGTGGTTCAGAGGGAGTAGAATTTAAAAAAAATTCTGACTAAAACGGAAAAAAAAGTCCGATTCCCAATTTCCAAGTGATCCAATATATATACCTCTTCTATGTAAACTTAAATAAAACCTTGATTTTTATTACACTTTTCCCTGTCTATTGTACGTTTTTTTTTATCTATACTTGAGGATGGTCAAATATATTAAATTAAAATAATATTCAATGTATTCAAAATTTAATTATTAAATTTAGGGTATTGATATATATGGTCTAATGTTAGATCTTGGGGCCTTTAACATCATGTATCATTTTCGGTATTATATGTTTGCAGTTTGGAGATTTCGAACTTACGCCACTAAGTACGTAACACTATTATTCACCTCAAACTTTGATATATGAGACTTTGATGCGCGCATACAGTCTGGTAAGTTATAACTATTACTCCCTACTAAAAAATATAAGACATTTTTAACTTATATTTTTAACTAAATCTCACTCCTAATAAATTAGTTAATTGTTTTCAAATTAATACCATATTTTTTTATTTACCTTTATTTAATAGGATGTTTCAGTTAAAAATAAATATAAAGTTATTTATTTATTAAGAGAATTTTTGAAAAAAATAAATTAATTACACCTTATAACACTAAAAATGATTTGTACTTTTTAACATTTAATTTTTTAAAAAATATCTTACATTTTTTAATGGAAGGAGTAGTTATTATCATTTGTCTTGAGTCAAGGATATAACACCATTGACTTGAAATTAAGCAATGGAACGGCTCGCAATAAACAAGAGTCAAGTTGCAGAGATACAAATGATAATAAAGTAACAGAGAAAATTCGAAAATGGATTGAAATGAAAATGACATATAAATTTTTTTTTTTTTATAGGATTGAAATGAAAAATTACCCAGCATTCATAATTGAATCCAAAATGACTTTTTCAAGCCGACAAAACAAATAATTTTAAAAAAATATACCAAAAAATAATTAAAAAGAAAATTATATTTACTATAAATATTTCATTAAATTTTTTTGAAAGAAATAAATTATAAAGTTTTTCCATTTTCTTATGATAAAACAAAAAGAAACTAAGACAATTCAATCACATACACTATCTTCAAATGTGTGACTTTATTACTGTTTCGATGTGGACACATAACAAATAACAATAGTGGGATATTCGCGAGCACGAGTTCAGGACTAGTGGGGCTAGCTAGCGGCTGGACCTTTGTCTTTAGTTTCACAGCTGGGTGCTGAGATTGGCCACAAGCCATCATATCTGATATATATGATAAACTTCACACTTTTAGCTAAAGATATATTTGTATTGGTAATTTTGTTCACGTTTCAGGCTATCAACAAAATCTCTCATTATTTTGATCACTTAAAAATATACTATATATATAATGATAAGATGTGGATAGATAATGTGATTGTAGCAAGCTACAAAAGAAACATATAATCATGTGATAAATAATTCACTTAGGATGTGTGTTTGTGGCGTTATAATTAAACTTGCAAGGGTTGGTAGAGACGTAGAGTTATACAATTAATTATTGTTACTTGGATATTAGTATTCAAAAACATATATATACGTATACCTCACTCTCTTGTACTCTCTTTCTGAACATATGACTATATAATTAGATAGAGGCTTCAATCTGCACCAAAAGGGTCTGCATTTTGATGATTTAGAGACTAACCACCAGACACTTGGTTCAACTGGTAGGAAAGTTGTACTCTCTTAATCAAATATTGCTAGAGCTTTTGCCCAAAAGGATCCTGCCCCGGCTTAATTTAAACTAGTCTGGACATCATTAGAGTCCCCTTATTGGATGTGGAGCAAACTGCGGTACTGACCACTCCACGCAAAAAAAATTTAAAAAAAAAAATAGTCACTTATCAAACTAACTGATTACATATGATTTATTACATTATATGATTAGGATAAAATACAACATAATAATTCTTGTGCTTGGCACAATCAGAACAAGGAAAGGAAACAGATTTAACTTGGAGATCAAACTCCAGCTGAAAATTAATCTGATCTACATTTCCAAGCACAGCTAATGGGCCATGTATGGGAACTATGGCAAAGCAAAACAAAATGGGAAAGTGAAAGAGCCCGCTCTGAACGAAAAAGATCAGCACCTTTGAAATGAACCACAAAACTAGCGAACCTTTTCCTGATATATGAGCCAAACTCATGATGTGCATAACACAAGCTGTACGGCTCAGGAGGATTAATTCTCGCATGTTTTATTCCCATGGCTTCCTCCTCATCTACCTTCTTGTTAAAAGCTTTTTGAAGATATGTCAATGTGGAACCTGAGTCTATCACTATATTACCTTCACTCACCTTTACAGTCTTTTCTCCAATGCAAATACACCTATGGCACATCAAAGCATAACATACAAACAGCTATAATATTCAAAACCGGATCAGCCTAGCCAATTGAACAAATAAATCATTAAACCAGTATGTCTTGACTAGTTTGATGAAATATTTTGTTTATAACTGGGTTTGATCACTGTTTAATTACAGTTTTAATCATTAACTCTTGAACAAGTGATTTGATTATATATAGTCTAATAACCAATTAGGTTTTCAGTACTTTGTAAATGCTATTAGTTATAATTGAGACTAGACTTAATAATTTAATATATTTTTTTTTAACTTTCAAGAACAATACATAAACACATGTGAAAAAAAAACCGTGTTGAATTTTTCTAATAAAATAAGTTATAAAAAAATGTAATGAAATTAGAAATTATTATTTATTTAATACATATTTATTTATGTATTCTAATTGTATGAGCCATCATTAAGACAATGCCTACTGATGGTTCAAATAACAGTAACTAAGACATGTTTTGACTTTTGGACTAAAATTAATATAAAAAATCTATTAAAAAAAACACACTATTTATGCTTCATAGCATATGTTTGGAATTGATTTTGCATAACCATGTTATCTTTAATTCAAAAATTAATTACTAAAATCATAGTCAAACCGTTATCAACCTAGTCATGAACAAAACATTTAATTGAACAAGTTAAGACATCAATTTAACGTTACTGACCGGTTATCAACACTATGTGAGTAATTAGTGAAACTTTTGGGGGGGAAAAATGCAACTCATCATTTCTTATACTCCACATATATTAATGAGTAGAACCTATACCGTATAATCTAAGTAGTTGATAGAAAATTACGAAATATATAGGGATAAGCTAATACCTTCAGATTGAGAATGTAACCAGATGGCCCTTCAGGTGCAGCAACCAATGGACTGGTCACGGCCGCATATGATCCTGATATCTTCGCTTCTTCACCCAATTTCAACTTCCCACTGGAATTCGAGAGGAAAGAAACCAAACAGTATGAGAATCTGTGATCTATTTTGGGGCCCCAACTGTGAAACTAAAGACAAAGGCCAATTTTCAAGCCCAACAAGCCCAGCACCTACGCCCGAGAATTCTCCCCGAGTCCTGTGCGCACATGCAAACAGTGTCTTATGCTCATGAAACCAAGCACTTCGGCCTCCAAGGGCAAAGAAATATTCTGCTAATTCCCCAGAGCTTCCCGAATCGTCCGCATACACGTAAACATACAAACACTTCTTTGAATCTCCACAATCAGACCATTCCTCAGGAAGTAACGCTCAGGGTTCCGACCGGCACGACAGCGTTTTGTAGGTGGAAGACCTTTTGGGATCGAAAAAGGTGCGTTTAGCGGGTAACATGTTTTGCGAGGCAAGCACTGGAGCCATACGAGGTCGCTTCCCGCGTCGGCACTAATTAACCCACGTCTCGACCGGAGGAGTGCCGA